TGTGTGGCAGCCCTTTGATTGGCCGCTTCCCCCTTCCTGAAAATTGTATCGTTGTATATTCAATAAAAGGAAGTAAAATGAAAAAAAGGAAGGCACTAGACTCGAGGTTCGCTCTCCTTAGAGCTCATAAGTAATGCATATCCACCGCTCCGCTTTGAACTCCAGATCCGCTGCAGTGTGTGCGCGTGTGGTATCACTGTGCCAACCAGTTCACAGTTTGGTTGACCAGAAATACTAGTTCGTGTTTGTTCAGAGGACTTCAGAGGGGAGGAGACTGAAGTCTAGTGCATCCCGAGAGGGTTTGCGGATGAACTGAGGGTTGTGTTTAAAGCACAGGGCTGAAGGATGATGACTTCATACCATTATAAATGCCCATTTCACTGTACTTCAAATGCCAAGTTTTCGCGTCCTTTGGAAACATCGCGATTTATCCCATTCCCAAAGGTGGTGACGCTTCCCGTTGCAATTAGTTACCGTCCGATCTCCTTCATACCTGTTCCTTCGAAAGTATTTGAAACGATCATCTGCGATTAATGGCATGTTCCTCAAACCTGAGAAAAAAACATTCAGCGACCGTCAACCGCGTCGTCGTACCGATAACCCACTGGTTCTCGTCTTGCACTCCTTGGGGGTTGAGCTTCATAACTACATTGAAACACGCCTGGTCCCACTCGATATCTCAAAAGCCTCCGATCGATCATGTCACGAAGTTTTTCTGGTAAAACTACCCTTGTCCTGGTTCCTTGTGCTCTGGTATTGTAGATCTCATGTTACCTCACTAAGCTAACGATCTCAGTTCGAGATGATGTGATGTTCTCTGTGAGTGCTGGTATTCCTCCAGGTTCAGCAATTATACTCACCATTTCTATGACATGTATTAATGACTTTCTAACCAGTCTGTTTATTTGCCCTCAACTCCACTTCCATTGTTCCTTCTCACAGCACTTCTTACCATGCTAACATCTACATTGACTTTGGTCGTATTGCAGTTAGCGCGTCACTTGGTCGATTCAAGCAAATAAAACTCAACTTCACTGTATCCGCTGCCTTGCGTTTAGATTATTTTCCCAACCACAGCCTTTGATTAAGAAACCCAGCCGTTCTCTCATTTAGTGTTTGAACTCCGTCTATCAAGCTTCAACAAAGAGTTAAGCAAGAAAATGTTTTTCTGGCGTTTCCTGTTTCATCTTCGAAATTATTTCCATATTCTTCGTAGATTTGGCTAATCCAAGTACCAACCACAAATCGGCCGGCTTTACCGATCAGGAGCGCGCTGGGTTCGGAACGCTTTTGAACCAGTTGAACCTGGTTGATACATATCGCGCTTTTTATCCCGATCGGACAAAAGCTTTCACATTTTGGAACTACCGACAAAACTCGCGTCCTAAAAATACAGGATGGTAAGTCCGTTCCCATACATACAGCTTGATCCCCATCTAAAATTAACTTGCACTATTTTGATCCTATGACTTGAGCTACCTTGATAAATCATCTCTAGGATCTCCAAACGTACCGGAAGTACAAGACACATTGCGCAGTGTGATGACATCGTAAACGACGAGGCGAATTTTGAGTCGTACTCATTTGTGAATTTGCTGCTTATGAGCAGGGGAATTAAATGAAACTCGGTCTAAAATACGCCAGTAGGCGCACCTACAATGCAGCCAAACCCACGTTGTTTTCACAACCTCTCAGTTGCGAAGATCCTCGATGAAATAATCACTGTCTTCCAACACCAAATCTAATTGTTTCTATCAATTCCAGTGTGGTTGTTCGCCCATATGCATCGGTGAAACAGGGAGACAGCTGTGTTACCGAGTAGCCGAGCACATCTCGGACTGGCCTCAGAAAACAGTGAGTGAAAGCTTCTGAAGTATGACTTCACCGATGACCTGTAAAAAACTCAATTCATCCATCATGCAACAGTTCGTCAAAGTGAAGCACTGGCATGCTGCTAGACGTATTTAGTATCATCTACAACACAAAAAACAGGGTTATGAAATCCAGTGAGGCACTAGGCATTCAGAATTACCATTCTCAACTTTTTAAACAGCGGAAATGGCTTAGTTCTCTGGCGCTTTGACGACTCTGCAACTTGACGTGGTATGATCGCTTGTGTACCTCCCTGACCCGACGAGCTACACAGGATGGCTTTTGTCAAGCCAGGAAATCTTATCATGCCTGTAAGGTCAATAGGTGGAGGCCAGACGAAGTCCATTCTCCTGGTCCTCCAGGGAGAAGGTTCGACTAGAATTTGCGTTTCAAGCGGTAAAAAAGTGGTGGAGGAGTAATCGATCGAAGT